TTTCAAGGTCCATTAGATTTCTTCTATTAGTCTTCTTGAACTCAGCTAGAAGTTCAAAAACACTTTGCTTCCTCACCTGTGGCCTAAACCTAAACCCACCGCCATGTAGTAGATTGGACTTGAGCTGTACTTCACAAAATATGTCTTAGCTATCTACTCCTGTCCATAAAAATCACCTGAAATTCAATGGGCTAAAAGACTGACATTTATTTTGCTCAAATTTTTGCTATTTATGGAACATTCTGTAGGTATTGTTCATCTCTGCTCAACTTTGTTCATCTCGGCTCAACTCAGTATAAGAAGGGAAATGCAGATGCTGATGATTGCATTCACTTTTTTCTTTAATTTAAATTTTATTGTAAAGGTGATGTACAGAGAGGTTACAGTTATGTAAGTAGATTTCTTTTTGAACAGTGTCACCTCCCTCTCCCATTTTCTCCCACATTTTCCCTTCCTTTCCCCCCAAGTTGTGATATTCATTTCCAACATAATATCTAGTGAGTATTTCCATTGAATTGTTTTACCCTTTTTTGGGGGGGGTCCAGTCATGGGGCCTGAACTCTGGGCCTGGGCGCTGTCCCTCAGCTCTTCGGCTCAAAGCTAGCACTCTACCACTTGAGCCACAGCACCACTTCTGGATTTTTTCTCTTTTGCTTATGTGGTGCTGAGGAATTGAACCTAGGGTCTCATGCATACAAGGCAAGTGCTCTACCACTGAGCCACCTTCCTAACCCCCTTGTTTTACCCTTTGACTCACCATTTTTTGTGATCTCTCTTCCCCTCTTTTCAAGTCAGATAAACTTATGTCCAAGACAAAATGTGCAGAAATAAAAAACAGTGACAAAAAGGAACAAACCAAAGGAAAAATATAAAAAAGAGAAAACTGCAAACAGTACAATAAAAAATGCTTGTTTCAATTTGTTGGAGTTTATTGTGATAAGCATCATTATATATAGTCATATGCACATAGCTGCTGAGACATTATGATCCTCTCCTAAGAATATCTTCTTTTGGTCTCACAGTATGAATGCCTAGAGTACTGTTTAATTAATCCTGTCCAAGTGTAATTAGTTGTCTTTTACTATCCATTGGATTAACTTGTAGATTTATAGAAATATTCCAGTTACTACAAATGAGGGAAGCTATACAGTCTATATTTCTCTGGGTCTGGTGTACTTGTTTTAGTATATTTTTTCCCAAGTCTTTCCATTTACTTGCGAAAGGACCAATGCCATTCTTTCTGATGGAAGCATAGAATTCTCTTTTTGTTACTGTTCTATAATGATTGAGACAGGTAACTTGTTCAGAGACAGGGCTCCTGTGAAGACTTGTTCAGGCTCATATCTGCTGGTTTTTACTGTGTATTTTATGCTTTCTTTTTATTGGGGCTATTGACAAGAACATTTTCATGTAATATTCTATGTCCTTGGCTTCCTCGTGATATTAAGACTGGGTTCTTAAAATCAGCAGTTAAGGAAACTAATGAGCAGAAAGATGTACTGATATTCGTGACTTACCCTTGGAAGTTATGATGGTCACTTTTGCTGCATTTTTTCATGGATACAATCTAATGGACTCTGCATTTAAGGGGAAGGATATGGACTCCACAGGTGGGAAGTGGCAAAGTTTTGCAAGACTATGAGCAACCAAAAATCTTGGTACCATGGCTTTTGCTAAAGGTATTCTGCCTCAAGTGTGGTAATTAATATTGAAAAACAAGTACTCAACATGTCAGTTCCCTCCCATTTATTTTCCCATCTTCGTCTTTAATACTGCTTTAACATAGAGTTGGATGTGGTTTTTATAGACCTTTGGGTTGAATATGGAGCTCCTGAACAGACATGTGTATATAATTTCTTTTTGAATGTTAAAGCATCCATAAGAGTCTATAAGATATAAATTTCCAGAGAAATAATAGTTTGTATCATTGAGACAAATATTTTAAAATATTTTGGGGGAAAAGATCTATTTTTCTGTATGACTATGAGTCAACAACAGATATTTTGTTCAGAGAAATTACTAGGAAAGTGAGATTGACATCAAAATAATTACATATATAACCATTTTTAGAATTTAATAGATACACATTACACACATGTAAGCAGGCATATATTGTCCCCTTTCTTTACTCTCCCTTTATAATTTAGCTCAAATGAAAATGACAGTAACTTTTATAGTTCACAATTCCTATTTCCTTAGAGCAGGTACCTAAAAGGTACATGATGGTAGAACTTAAAGCCATCAAGAGACAGTGTATCAACTGTCCCTAGAGTTGTTCATACTCAAAACCCAAGCAATAGTCACTTGCTTCACAACCCTAGTCTCGTAAAATCATGCTAGATGTTATACAGTTAATAATAGTTGGAAGTGGCGCTGTGGCTCAAGCAGTAGAAAGCTTGCCTGGAGCTGAAGAGCTGAGGGACAGCGCCCAAGCCCATAGTTCAAGCCCCACGACCACCACCACCAACAAAAATAATAATAATAGTTAATAGTAATTATTATAGTTAATAACTAAAGTTGATAATAGTTATAAGCCAAACTCTTCCCACTTCTAAGCCAATGCTAACAACTTCTTCCTATGATACTTCTCGAGTGAGAAAGTCTGGGGCATAGAAGAACACTGAATCAGAAAGGAAAAGAGAGTAAGAAAGAGATGCTAAGTGTGTCAGTACATGTACGTCAGGTACCTGCCAATCCAACCCCCAATCATCCAAAGAGGGAAACACTGTAACTGTCAGAAATAAGACAGAAGTATTAAATGTGTGTATTTAGAAAAATAATCAGTTTGTTCTAACATCCTAAAAAATGGCAAATTTTGTAGAAAATGAATGCTTAAAGACCCAAGTAACATAAACATAGCACAAAATATTATCAGTAAGATTGCACATCATAGCGGAAGTTTTGGAGGTATCTGTCATGCTTACTAGTCCATCCACAAGAGTTACTATTCGCCACTTCCCACTATCTGACTGTTCTAGTACTCAATATGAGCAATCCACTGTGGGGCTCTCATGATCTTTTTCTCTTTCATTTCCATTTCTTCCATCGCTGCCATTTCTCTCCCAGTAATAGCAACATGTTTTAATGAACTGGATATGTTCAAATTTTTATTTTATTTTAGGTACTTCTCATCTGTTGCCTTGGATTTTATTCTATCTCAAAAGATCTAATCCATAGAACAGAAAAACACAAGTAAATAATTGTAAAAAAAAAACAACAACCAACAAACCCAAAACCAAATATAGTGTGTTTAGAAATTAAAAAATAAACAGGGATTTCTGCTTCCACACATGAAAGACTACCTGGCACTATAGTTTCTCTCCTGCTCTAAACAACTAAAACTTGATGGTATATATACATATATATGTGTGTGTGTGTGTATTCCTGTATATTAATTAAACATGTATGCAACATGTATGTAAAATACACCATACATAATACTACATAGTTTATAATATTTAATGTAATTATATGTAAGATAGCATTATTATTATTTTTTTGTTGGTCATGGGGCTTGAACTCTGGGCCTAGGCACTGTCAGCTCTTCAGCTCAAGGCTAGCGCTCTACCAAGATAGCATTATTATAGTTATATATAATATAAATTATATACATTATATAAATTGTGTAAAATATATATTATAATACATATGTGTAATATATGTGATATTATTTAATATAATACAACGTATCATGTATAGAAGTCATTTTATTATATGTATTTACTATACGTATATATCGAAACTACTTCAGACATTCAACAACAGAACAACAGGTGGCAGTACAGGATCATAATCTCTAAAATAATGAACCAGAGGAACAAGCCTCACTATTGTCCAGAATTTCTTCCTAGAGGCACTAAAAGAAAATAGGAAGAACCACTTTGAGCATGCAGTCTTGCTGAGTTGAGGACTCGAGATACTGCAAAGATAAGAATAATTTGTGTTTAAAAAACAAGAAAATGCTTCACGAAGAAATAAGATTCTACATTGTTACTCTTAAATCTTTCTCTAAATGTTATATGGTACACAATTAAGTGAATCTTCAGTCAGTGAGACAAGAACTATTACCAGAAGCTACATATGCATCGATTTCTAGAGTTTGAGTGGAGCAGGGAAGATGAATGAATACTAATAGAGCTTAGAGTTATTGAAAATTGGCCATTAGATCAAAATGCAGGAGAGTCCTAGTTCTATTGGAAGAGTAAGCTATTCCTAGAGTTAAGTTTACTGTAAACCTTTCCAAACAAAATTTAAAAATAAGACTGGAAAGGAATGAGCTATTCTTGGATCACCTTAAATGAATTCCAAAGCAAAGCTCAACTCTCCAGGAAAAAAAAAATGACAAATAATTTAGACAGTCAATAGTGTAACCTTTACAGTGTCATGAATCTAATAGAAAATTATTAGGAAATTATAATTCACAGGAAAAGAAAGAGCAACTGAAGAGAACTTGAAGGAGCTAGTGTCTGAGCAAAACTTAGAACTAGGCTGGGATGTGGTTTCTTGAGGGAGTGCTTGCCTAACGTGCACAAGGCCATGCCTCTAGATCCAGCAGCACAAACAATTACACATAAATGTAAAACCCTCAGGACTATGCAATGAAAAGGTTACCATCAGAGGAAACAAGAAAGAAATAGTGCTTATTCAAATTTTAATTAAAATATAACTGTTTTCTCATCAAAGTTTATTCCTCCTCCTCTCCCGCCTGCTTTTCCTCTTCCTCTTTCTTCATTTTCTTCTTCTCTTAGCAGTTGTATGGCTTTGTGATTACTAAGCAGGCATTCTACTACTATGACTACAGCTCTATTTGGCTACTTAAAACAAAAATTTAATCAAAATATTATTGAAACGTATAGTATTTATAGATATAAAATGTATGACAAAAACAGGTCCACCTCTGCCACCTCCTCCGGCTGCTGTGGTGCTGCCTGTGTGCTCCTTCGGTGTGGACCGGGGACCTCTTTTGTGAAGCTGCATCTAAGGAGACTCTGGTGCTCTTGATGGCTGACAAAAAGCCCAAGGAAGGAATCAAGACCGTGAACAAGGATCATATTAATTTGAAGATGGCGGGACAGGATGCTTCTGTGGTACAGTTTAAGATTAAGAGGCACACACCACTTAGTAAACCAATGAAAGTCTATTGTGAACGACAGGGTTTGTCAATGAGGCAGATCAGATTCCGATTTGATGGGCAGCCAATCAATGAAGTAGACACACCTGCACAGGTGGAAATGGAGGATGGAGATACAATTGATGTGTTCCAGCAGCAGACAGGAGGTGTCTACTAAAAAAGGGAAGCTGCTACTTTGCTCCAGAACTTTGTTCTTATAGAACAAGAATACATTCTTAACCTGAAAACTGCAATTTGGTTCCACCATATCCTGACTACTACAGTATAGTTTTCTCTGTTCTTTCATTTCCCCTTACCCATTCCTTTATTATACACAATGTTATGGAATACACACTAAATTTAAGTGTACACAGAACAGGCCTGGGAGTGTGGCTTAGTGATAAAGTGCTTGTCTTGCATGCATGAAGCCCTGGGTTCGATTCCTCAGAATCACATACACAGAAAACCTGGAAGTGGTAGAGTGCTAGCCTTGAGCAAAAGAAGCTCAGGGACAGTGACCAGGTCCTGAGTTAAAAAAAAATAAAGTGTACACAGAACAAATACCAAGATCAATCATAATCTGGGCCATACATTTTTTTATATACATTGAGAAAGAAAACAACCAGAGTAAGGACCTTTGGGGGAAAAACCACTAGTAAATAGAACAAGATTCAGCTCAGATGACAGCTCAGTATGGAGGCCCATTACAACCTGCTAACAGCAAAGGGGAAATAGTGACAGCTTCTGGGCAGATGTTCTCCCCATGTCTATCCTTGCCCCTTGGGAAATTGTCAGTCTACATATATGTGAAACAGAGTCCAGATATCCAAAACCTTTCATTTCATGACTTTTTCCTATTTTGTTTGTCCAATATTACTATTGAATAGGTACAAAAAGGAAGAATGAGATTTTTTTATCCACACCCTCTTTCTATCCATAGAAAATTTCCAGATAAGTTTCTCTGGTTTTAAACTTTATCCCTGAATTCCTTGGCAATCTTGAGAAAATAGCAGTTGTCAAATGCAACACACAGCATGTCACTTCCCTCCATAATATTCAGATTACTGTGGTCACAGCTACAACTGTGATTATTACCACAGATGGTCGGCTATTTAATACCCGGTCCTCAGTTTGCTCACCTGCAAATGAAAGGTTTTTCTTGACTTCACTGTTCCATTACATGCCTATAAAAAGGAATGTGGTTGTTGTTTTGTGCTAGTACTGGCACTGGAATTCAGAGTCCCACCCTCCCAGTAGGTTTTCCCACTCACGTGTGGTATTCTACTACTCAAGCCACAGTCTATTTCAGGCTTCTTGCTGGTTAGTTGGAGATAAGACTCTCATGGACTTTTCTGTTTGGACTGGCTTTGAACTGCAATCTTCAGATATCAGGCTCCTGAGCAGCTGGGATTACAGTGTGAGCTATCAGTAAAGAGTTTTAAAGTAGACAACACACACACACACACACACACACACACGACATCCCTCTATAACTTATGGGGGACTAAAATTCAATGCTTCCTTGATTAAATTCAGACTTGGAGATAAATTAACTCTCAAACACAGATTCATTAAATTCAACAGATAATGACCAACAGCTTAATGTGTCTATCCCAATGTCTGTAGTTCTATTGATAAATGAGAAATAGTTAAGGTAAAGCTAAGACCTGGATAAACTGATCTAGTAATAGCAATAGTATTTCTAAATAATAATATAGTGAAAGAAGTTCAATTTTGAATGAAATTGGAAAGCTTTTATGTCATCCTAAAATTGCAATATTTAGGGATAAATTAAACAAAATAAATGCAAGACAAATAGGCAAGCAAGAAGGCCTTCAAAACATTGCTGCAAAAAATAAAGGAAATACACATAAACGAAAAGAGCTATAATGGTCATAGGGTGTAACATTTGGCATTAGAAAAACTATTTTTCCAAATTGATCTTTTGACATCAATATAATCCTAGTAAAAAATGTGTTGTGTGGTTGGGTTTTTGTTTTTGTAGAAGATAAGAATCTGTTTCTAAAATATGTATGTAAATCTTGGAATTCCGTAAATATTGTAATCCATGCCTCTGATCCTAGGTACTAAAGGAGGTAAAGGTTGGAGAATATCAGTACAATTCAGAGCAAACAAACAAGACTCTTTGTGAAAAGCAGACTAAATACAGAAGGACTAAGGTTTGGCTCATATGGCAGAGCTCTTACATAGCAAGTGTGAGGACCAAAGTTCAACCCTCATCTGAAGAAAAAACACAAGTTAGCACAAAATAACCTCAAAAACAGAGCAAAAAAGTTGGAGGACTTACATTCCTTCCTTTCAAGGGTCACTATAAATAATCCAGATAATGTGCAATTAACAAAATTATTAATATATAGATGAAATAAATCCATAAATGTATTGCCAATCAAATTTTCTACAAAAAATATTCAACAGTGGGCATCTGTATGCGTGTGATCTTCATCTTAGACCATACCAAAAAATCAAATAAAAATCCATAGGGGACTAAAAACCTAAATTGAAGTCTACAAAAGTTCTAGAACACATAGAAGACATGTTTTTATTATCATAAAGTAGACAGATTTTTAGATAGAAAATAAAGTACACAACACAGACCAAAAATATGGTAAATTGGTCTTCACTGACTTCATCAGTTTTAAACTTTCTACTCTTTGAAAACCATGTCAATATAAAGCAAATCATGAACTAGAAGAAAATATTTCCAGTGCTTACGTAAAGCAGTAAAACTCTATTAATTCCATTCACGTTGTTTTTTTGCGTATCAGTCTTGTGTTGTGACTTGGCTGAATTAATGTTGCTACTTCTAGTAGCCTTCTTTTTTTTTTTGCCAGTTGTGGGGCCTGAACTCTGGGCCTGGGCACTGTCCCTCAGCTCTTCAGCTCAAGGCTAGTGCTCTACCATTGAGCCACAGTGCCACTTCCAGCCTTTTCTGCTATGTGGTGCTGAGGAATCGAACCCAGGGCCTCATGCATGCAAGGCAAGCACTTTACCACTGAGCCACCTTCCCAGCCCCTCTAGTAGCTTTCTGATCAGTATTTAAAAATTTTTTATGGCCAGGTGCCAGTGCCTTACACTTATAATCCTAGCTACTCGAGGGCCTGAGATCTGAGGATCATGGTTTAAAGCTAGCTCAGACAGGAAAGTCCTGGAGATTCTAATCTCTAGTTTACCACCAAAGAGCAGAAAGTGAAGTTGTGGCTTAAGTGGTAGAGTGCTAGCCTTGAGCCAAGTGCTCAGGGACAGGGCTCAGGTCCTCAGGGCCAGGGCACAAAAAATAGATTTTTTTGTATGTACAATTCATCTGACTATTTATTTCTTCCTTTCCTGCCTATGTTTTTCTTTATTATTTGATGCTGTGGGTTAGTGTTCTAATTCAATGTTGAATATGTTACAAAAATGAACATTTTTATTATTAACCTGAAAAAAGGCATTCAATCCTTAATGATTAAATTTGACACCTGTATGGTTTTCATAGGTGTGGTGTAAGGATTCAATCACACATACAGGTTTATTTATGTACCATAGTTTTTCATATGCTTAAAAGAAATAACTATAGTGCAGTTGTTCTTTTTATTTTTATATTTTTTATTCTAGAAACACTGTACAGAGGGGTTACAGTTACGTGAGCAAGGTAATGAGTACATTTCCTATCAAGCATTGTAACCTCCTCCTCCTTTGTTTTTCATCCCTTCCCTCCCACCTCCTCAACTATGGCTATACAACAGATGCTGGAGGGGATGTGGCCAGAAGGGAACCCTACTGCACTGTTGGTGGGAATGTAAACTTGTTCAACCACTTTGGAAAGCAGTATGGAGGTTCCTCAAAAGACTCCACAGAGATCCCCACTATGACCCAGCAATCTCACTTTTGGGCATTTACTCAAATGATCACAAACTGGACCATACTAAAACTAGCAGAACAACTATGTTTATTGCAGCATTATTTACCATAGCTAAGACAGGGAACCAACCCAGATGCCCCTCAGTAGATGAATGGATCAAGAAAATGTGGTATATATACACAATGCAATTCTATGCCTCCACCAGAAAGAATGGCATCGCCCCATTTGTTAGGAAATGGAAAGACTTGGAAAAAATTATATTAAGTGAAGTCAGCCAGGCCCAAAGAAAAATAGGCCCCATGACTTCCCTTATTTGCAACAGTGTAGTTGTTCTACGCTGACCACCCCAGCCTTGCATGTCCCAAATGGCCATCAACACATTCCACTTTTCATGGGCTCTTTAATACTAAGCCAGATTTCTACCTCAAGAATACATATGTGTGTGAATATCCAAAAGAATAAGATTGTTAAACTAATTAGAAATATAGACAAAGGAAAGCTGTAGAAAGACTGAATGATAATTAAGCAAAATCTCAGAATCATAGAAGAGCATTCAGTGTTTCTATCACTTCTGATATTTGGGCTTGGTAGAAGTATTAGAGACAGAAAGGGAGCCTAGGAGTAGACAAATCAATGAAATTAATTGGAAACAAGTCTTAATCTCATCATAGCGTAAATGGAAAGCCTTAAGTGTGATTTTTAAAGGAATAGTATGTGATGATGGTTATAATTTATCATCATTGTGCTCACTATTTAGAACATTCACTAATAGTTTCTTTGAAGAGAAGGAACTATATACTGTAGAAGTGAAAATATAGAAAATACATGAGAAAGGCCACAGCAAGACATCAAGAAAGGAACTGGCAAGCTCCTGAGGCAAAGAGCAGCAGCAATCCTCCACTCTATAGTAATGACAGAAAGTTGGAGAGGAGGGATAGTTATTTTAATGAGGTAGGGACAATATGACACAATTGTTGGGTAGAACAGAGGAGTCATGGATAGTTGTATCATGAAAGTGAGTTCACTTATGATAAAGTATTTGTATCCAGACAAAGTAAACTTACAGCTCAGTAATAAGAAAACCACCAATAAAAGTGAACATAGCATTGGGAAGGTGGCTCAAGTGGTAGGGTGCTTGCCTTGAGCTGAAAAGCTGAGGGATAGTACCCAGGCCCAGAGTTCAAGCTCCACGACTGATAAAAAAAGAAAAAGTGAACATAATATTTTAATGTGCTCCACAGTATATGGAAGTCAATAGTTATAGGAAAATATTTTCGGCAGTATGCAAGTGTATACAATGTGTTAACTGAAACATG